GACTCTCCCAGTATGAAGGAGTAGGATTCTATTCTGTTTTTTCTTTCTTTATTTTTTAATGAGATTTTACATTTGTTAACCAGGAAAAGAAACATGCTCTGCACAGCAAGTGTGAACAAATAAAAAGTAGGAAAAAATACACTCTGCAGGATGAGAGTGGACCACAGTGAAACAGAGAAAACAGTGGAAAGCCAAAGGGTCTCACTATGTAGTTCAGGCTGGCCTCGAACTCTTGGTGATCTTCCTGCCTCATCCTCCCAAGTGCTGCGATAACAGGCATATGCCACCACGCTCATCTTGGAGGAATGGATTTTGCCTGGCAACTCTACTCCAGCACTTATTTCATTGGGCCTTTGAATACTTCCTCATTCACAGCTGGTCATCTTTTGATCCATTCTTCAGCCCGTCAATTAAATAAAGTCTGAGCACATTTTTACTCCATTAAATCCAGCTTTGACCTAAATTCAGAATCTCTGCATAATGGGCTCATATCAAAAATTCAGCTTAATCCAATTTTATGTTTCTTCCACCATTTTCCTATACTCTTCTTCTTTTTTTTTTTTTTTTGGTCTTTTTGAGACAACGTCTTGCTAGGCAGTTCAGGCTGGCCTTCAACTCACTATGTAGCCCAGGCTGGGCCTCGCAGCAATCCTCCTGCCTCAGCCGCCCAAGTGCTGGGATTACAGGCGTGCGCCACCACGCCTGGCTTCCTATACTCTTAAAATCCATTTCCATACCAGTTTGCAAGACCCCTATTTGTAAGAATTAGAAAACTCCAGGCATTTTTGGGGTGTGTAGCCTACCTTCTCATGGGTCGTGCTGTGTACCTCACCTTTAGGAGCCATCTGAGATTTCAGCAGAGTTAAGAGGCCCAGAGGCAAAGCGGGTGGTGAGGGTGGGTTCCAAGGACATCACCGTGGCCTTCCGTGGTAACTTCATCTGGGAAAGTTGTTACTGTTTCCAAAGATGACACAGGATTAGTCCCACTAGGTGTACATGGGGAGCCCAGCGCCACAGGGGGTGGGCTGAGAATGCCTCTGCCACTGAGGGGGGAAATCTCTTCCTTTGACAAAACAATCTCATCAGAATCTAGGAGTTCGAAGCCCCAGCCTCACCAGGTTCCTCCCAGACAAGATCCCATACTTTCTATCTGTGTCCTCACTTTAACCAAAGATACCCTTTGAGGCTGAGCGTTCCATTTGCACTGTAACTCGGCCAATTGCATTACGACGGCTTGTGTTTGTTTTTCTTGGCAACTTCAGTCCAATGACTACAGGCGAGAAAATTCTTCAGGACACACTTAGAAGCCTTTGTATTGTTCACGTGTGTCTAGAGCTGGGAATTTGAAACTTTGAGCTCTTCATTTTCCTTTTGTCCAAAGGTGCTAAAAGCAACCAGCTGGCATCATTATACTGATTACTCTTCCAAAAATGTTCAGAAGTACTGTGTACAAAATCACTGAATCCCATGCATCTCACAAGTGACAAACCAGGAGAATAAAATGGATGTATGTTGCATATTACTTGAAATAGCTCCCACCACAGATCAGCAGTGCTCTCTGCATTTTCAAAAAGAGAGAGGATGACAACTTTAGGGCTCACTAGGGGGCCGACTCTGGGGACCAGTTAGAGAAATTCATCCTCATAAATCTACTTCTCTAGAACCACTTTTTTGTTTGTTTGTTTGGTTGTTTTTTTTTGTTTTTTTTTTTTCCGGTACCAGGAATCGAACTCACAACCTTGTGCTTGCCAGGCAGGCGCTTTGCTGCTGAGCTAAATCCCCAGCCCCTAGAACCACTTTTGGTATCAAAATCTGTACTAGTTAGGGTTCTTTAGAGGAAGAGAATCAATAGGAAATATGTGCATAATTATGCAAGGGGCTTTATTGGGTAGGCTTGCAGGTGGGAGGCAGGAGAGTCCACAACGGCCATCTGCACACTGCAGGATCCAGCAGCTGCCTAGCCCAATAGGATGGAAGCCACAGAACCAGAGGCCCAAAGACCCAGCACCAGTCCAAGGTCAGAGGCCTGGACGCTCACAGGAGAGCTGCTGGCGGGAGTCTGCACTGGGAGGCTGAAGCAACTCTGGATGTCTCGGGGCAACGCAGCAAAGGGCGCAACTGCTCAGAAAGACTGGAGCTCTTCAAAATGCGCACACCTTCTTCTTCTTTCCCTTTTATTCCATCCAGGCTACAGTCCTCTTTGTTGGTGTCACCCACAGCTGGAATGGGTCTTCCCCTCTCAGTTTACTGACCTATACGTCAGTCACCCACAGACACACCCAGGACTGTGCTTTAGTAATCCGTTAGGCATCCTTAATCTATTCAGGTTGACAAGTCCTGATTAATGGTTACAAAGATTATAAAAAAAAGTTATATCTATGTATATATGTATTATGTATGTATTTATTTAGAGACAGGGTCTTGTTATGTAGTTCAGGCTGGCCTGGATTCACTGTGTACCCCAGGCTGGCCTTGAACTCATAGAGATCCTCCTGTCTCAGCCTCCTGAGTGCTGGAATTACAGGCATGCGTCACCACGGCCAGGTATAAACAAAGTTGAAAAATTAAAAAGACTGAAATCATACATTTGCTAAACAGATAACAGAGAAAAGATGAATAATACATAAAAAGCTACTTCAAAAAACTCAAATCATTCATTAGGAAAAAAGGGAGAAGGAATAAAAACTATGGACAGGATTTTATATATGAACAAACATAACATCTAACAGTATACGAAAATATATCCAGCTTTACTGGTAACTGATGATGGAATCAAAACAAGACCAGATAATTAATATTTTAACCAATCAAACTGAACGAGTAAGATGATTCATAATATCCAATTTTGATGAGGTGTCAGGAAAATAAGCACCGTCATATGCATTTATTTATTTTCTGCACTGGGGACAGACACCCGGGCCTTTGCATTGAGATATGTACATAACTGGCCATTTTTTATTTTGAGACAGGGTCTTGCTAAGTCACTAAATTGGTCGATGAGGGTTCAAACTTGTGAGCCTCCTGCCTCAGCCTCCCCGTGTGCTGGGATTGCAGGCATGTGTCCCTAGCACGCACCTTGCTTCTGCAGAGCCAGGTTTCCTTCCCTATGAGCTGTGAGCCAGGAGCTGGGGAGAGCCTGGTGGTTCCATTTTTCTTCTCTGCATGGCAGCCCATCTCTCAAACTTCTCTGTAGATTTTAACCTTCCCAATTCCTGCTGCTCTACTTCTCTTTTTCTCTTCCCCAGATTGTTCTTTTCCAGGACCTGGATTCCAGATCTGACAGGCTGAATTCTGCTGCTGCTCACCACTCCCCATTTTGATTCTCCCTGGCCCCTCTTTTTTTTTTTTTTTTTTTTAATTTGAAACAGGATCGCACCGAGTTGCCCAGGCTAGCCTTGAACTTGGGATCCTCCTCCCTCAAGCTCCCAAGTGGCTAGGATTATAGGTATATGCAACTATGACTGTCTCAAGTGATACGTTTTGAATGGTGGCACCGGGACTATGGCCACCGGAATAATAAACATACAAAGTATAGATTTAAAAAGAGGCATGGTGGGGCTGGGGATTTTAGCTCAGCGGCAAAAGCGCCTGCCTGG